TGTGTGTGTGTGTGTGTGTGTGTGTGTGTGTGTGTGTGTGTGTGTGTGTGTGTGTGTGTGTGTGTGTGTTTTGCAGGCGCAGCCAGCCAACCCTGGTCCAGCAGCAGGAGCTGAGGCTCAGGATGAGACGTACTACACTGACCTGCTGAAGCTGCAGCTGCAGAACTCTGTGTGAGTCCAGACTGTGGACCTGCAGCCGGTCCACAGTCTGCATCTGTGCTGCCTCTGAACACGCTTTGACCCGGTTCTGTTTGCTTCTCTACTCTGTGAATAAGATTTTTATAACAGAAGGATTTTAAGGTCCTGTCACTTTTACACAACTTGTGAAAATGAACAGTGAAGATGGACTCTAATAAGGACATACACAGGCTGTAATGTTAATTACATCACATACTGTATACAACCTACATGAGTCATTTATTCAGAAGTACATTTTCATAAGTTATAATGTTAGAGTTTGACAACAAAGTTTATTTTCCACTTTCAAACCACACAGTTTAAGCTTTCCTAACAATTCACTGAAAATTATCCATCCAGTTTTACAGCTCAGGAGTGTTTGGAGTCGGGCGTTCTGCAGAAAGAATTAGAAGAAAAGACTTGTTGTTTTCATCCAAACATATATAAGTTAAATATTAACTTGATCTATTCTGTCTTATTTGAAAGTGGAATAGTTCAACTCACACAGGAACATCACATCTGTCTGTGGGTAAACTTAAATAACCACAACCACATCTAAAAATCTGAATAACAACAGTTTGATTTAGTGTTTTACAGATGGATTTATTTATATTTAGTATTTATATAAAACTTAATAATTTGTTTGTTTTTTAAATAATTTTCTTTTTCCTCATTCCAGTGTTCAACAAGCAGCTCTGGACAAGTTTGATTTAGTGAGAAAAGAGGGAGAAATGAACGCAAACTTTTTTTTTTGTTTTGTGTGTGTGTGTGTGTGTGTGTGTGAGAGCAGTAAGGATGTGCAGCGTCTGGGAGGAGAGCTGTCCCTGCAGAGGATGAAGTCTCTGTCAGAGAGTCAGAGGGCTCTGTCTCTGGAGAGGAAACTCTTCACATCAGAGCGTCTCCTGAAGCAAGTAAGATACTGACGCTTGTTGTAGCGCTGTAAGAAGGTGCTGGTTCTGGTCCAGAACCCACCTCTGGATTAAAAATAATAATAAAATAAAATAAAATGGATTCTTTGCTGCTGCACTTGTTCTGAGTCTCTGTGTTTCCTGCTTCCTTCGCTCCCTGCAGGCTCAGAGTGACAAGTTCAGGCTGCAGCTGCGTGTGGAGGATCTGGAGCAGAAATATGAACCCAAAGGTACCAAAACCACCGACCCATTAGTGAGGCGAGGTCCTCCTGGTTCCTGCTGGGTCAGGTTCTGTAATGTGCTCTCTGTGCAGAGGGGAAGAAGAAGGCTGAGAGGAAAAGGAAAGAGAAACTTCCTGTAGACGTCTCCTCCATGTCTGAAGGAACAAACCCAGAGGAGCAGACTGCCTCTGGGGATGGACCGGCTCCCAGGACCACAGACTCTGAAACCAGTCCTCCAGCTGAGACTGAGAGTTCTAACGAAGGTGGATCGAGCTGAGCTCAGAGGTTCTGTCTGCTGCAGGACATCAGTCTAACAGGTTCTTCTCTCTGGACTGTTTCAGAGTCGCACTCTGTGCCGAGGCCTGCAAAGTATCAGAAGATCAAAGAACCGGACTGGACTGCTCCCCCCAGGTCAGTGCTGCCGTCTGTCAGAACCTGAACAGAACCTGAACACAGACCGTGAGACGAACAGAACTCCTTCAGTCGTGTCATCAGTGTGATCCAGTCAGATCTGGTGTCAGACGGACTGTTCTGTCCGTGTGTTTAGTATAATTTAACTGTTTGCATTACAACAAACTGACTGCCAGCCTTTAAACACAGCGTCAGATAAAACCTGAGTCAATCTGTTGCTCCTCAAGTTTTAATCAAGTCTCAATGTTAATTATTTTAGTCATTTGTTTTATATCATCCATAAAAACAACAAAAAAATCATAAAAAACAAAGTCTATCAAACACTGAATCAAAAGGCTGCAGAAAGAAGAAAAAACTCTTGTGTTATCTGCCTCTTTTTAAAAACTAACTTCAAATAAACAACTTAAAGGGATCCATGATTAGTTGTAACATTAGACTTTATTTAATAAACATATATTTTAACTGTAAAATAAAGACTAAAAATACTGTAGGCTGTTTAGTTTTTATAATTTTTAAAAATATATTTTAACACAGACAAAGCCATTTTTTTTACATGCACAGCATTCTGGGTAAATGATGACGTGGATAGGTCCTCGGTGCGAGGCTGCTAGCGAGCTATATCC